CAACACCTACAATTAAATTAGCCATTTACGGAGTGCACCCCAGCTCTGTACACCTTCCAATTAATTGCCTGCCGAGAGAGAGAGAGAAATTGTGACGCCCCAAGGTTCACACAAGGCTGCAGTCCAAGGTGAAACCCGGATTGTCAAACCTGCCAAGCACCAAACACCATGCTACGACATGTTTCACCATCACAGTCACTATCTCTCTAGTGGAAACAACAAATAGGTGAAGGTACAAACAGGTAAATAATAAAAGTAGTACAAAATCAGATATGCATAGAAGAAGTATATCAACAAATGAGCCCAACTGAAATAGAATGAAGATATCTCTGAGTCAGAAATACATCTCAACACAATGAGTCAAATGAAATCTCACTAAGGCACTCAGCCTCTATAAAAATGAATACAACTCTAAAATCTGAACAATGAACATAACTATATAGTGGAGCTTCAACTGCTAAAACCGTGCGACAGTGACTATGCTAGAACTCTGTCATCCTGCGGCTCTCCGAAACTCTGATCTGCCTGAAAGATACAATTTAAATAAAAAGAACAACAACAAAAGCATCAGAGTGCTACAGCAAGATCACCTCCATCCGCCCCCAGGGGAAGGGCTGCTAAATGAAGTGGAGGCTCTATCTATTAAGCATAGTCTACCTATATCATTTTTCCCGTATCTAATGGAGTTAATATTTAGACACCTACAAGACGAGACGTAGTACGTCGAGCGAAATAATTCAAACAAGGAAACCCTCATATATATACTATACATCTTGAATTATAAATCCCAAAATACCAAATCCAACTCTATGAATGGAAACAACACTCAAAGAAATACGCCAAGCCTCAACTATATAGAACCAATGTTAAAATCTAGAACTACTTCTTAAGTAGTTGGCGCAATAATAAGAGAATATCGTTCATCCAAAGAAAAGATCATCATAGGCCATATCATGTATGCCACGAACCAAAGAAAGTATCCTACTCATGGGTAATCTAATATGGGAGTAACTATAACTGATAACACATATATGTATGCATCTCTTTATGCAATAGCGATACTCTTATAATATTGCTACTCAATCGCTCTGCGATAATAGGTTTTATCTCCCTATCCCGGATACATGGAATGACGATACTTTTATAATTTCCTACTCAATCACCCTGCGGAAATAGGTTTTATTATCTCCCTATTCCGGATACATGTAATAACGATACTATTGTAATATTCTTACTCAATCGTTCTGCGACAAATAGGTTTTTATCTCCCTATTTCCGGATACGTATAAAACAACACTATTCATATGTGTTTATTAATTTAACTCGTGACGAAAGTGTGTCAATCTAACACAATCTAGCATACATGTACTAATCTCGATGTGCGTGTTCACATCAGAAGTTCACCATCTCCCATGTGTTTAACAATCACTAATATCATAGTCTATCATCATAAGGTCGAGAAATCTGCTCGACAAACCAAAACCATATAATATAACCTGGCGGTCGACCGTGGTGGTCGACCGCGACGGGCTCCAGAGACTTCCCAGGTCTCTGTCCTGCACACGGTCGACTGTGGCGATCGACCGTGAACCAAATTTCCAGATTCTCATGTTCTTTGTATATGTCGTGTTCTCGTCGTGTTTTTGTGATTCAAACATGATTAAATCTTCATGAAACTTGTATGCAAACATGTCACAACAGATATGAACCTCTGGAAATAACTCAACAATTATAAACATGATTTTATGCATTAGATTTGTATTCAAAACCCTAAAACATGCATAAAGGCTCAAAAATAACGAATCAACCCTCTTTCTTTAGATTAACCAAATTCTTCAATCTAAAGCATGGACTTTTAACATATTAAACATAAGCATGATTGCCAATCAACTTAGGAAAGATATACATTCATTGAATTATATTTTTTAACACTTAGGTATCACAAACCTAGGGTTTCTCATCTTTAAACCACATGCAAACTCAATTAAAAGTCAAATTAGGGTTTAAACATGATTAGCACATGATTAACAAGATAAAAACGAATTTAAAAATAACCCTAATGATCATGATCATATATCTATTAAAAACAACAAGAAAAACATGTAGATCTAACATGAGTTTAAGATCTAACAATAAAAATATAATTTTTTTCACATTAGATTAAGGTCTAAGCATGTAAACACAAATTAAACTTCTAAGCTAATTATTTAACTATGGGGATAGGTTTGGATGTAAGTGATCTTGCCTTAATCTCATGTGCAAGCTTCTGAAGTAATCAGCAAGTAAACCACGAGCATGAGCAACTCGTTCTCCCTCGCCACACGTCGAAGATCTCGCCCTCGTGCTGGTGTTTTGCTTCACAAAGCTCTCCAAACTCAAAAGAAAAAGGTCTAGGGTTTTTGAGGGGAGAGGGTGACTTCTAGGGTACATAGATATGATAAAAGAAAAGAATTTTCGTGAAAAACACAGGTATTTTTAGAGGCAAACCTGAAGCAAAACTGTTTGATCCGAACCAGGAAACCTAGTCTGACTAGGAAAATAACATTCGGTATTTTGGCTGTAACTTTCTCATACGACCTCGGAATGAGGTGATCTAAGATTTGTTGGAAAGATGTTGAAGAGATCTACAACTTTGGTCTTTATATTTTTCTAAATTCTGACTGAAACAGTGTGTAAAATATAAAAACTCTCAACTGGTCATTATTCCCAGATTTTCACTCTTTTGGCCTTTGTGCATGTTTTGTACATTTGCACTCATATTCTCACAGATATACATTAATTTGATCTCAAATCAATTCTTATCATACTCAAACATCAAAATATGTTATTTTTCACCTTATAACATATTTATCATTATTTATCATAACATATTCAAATTTACGGGGTTTTACATTCTTCCCCCCTTAAAAGAATTTCGTCCTCAAAATTCCGCAATCGTATCGTAGAGGTTAATAATACATTACCATAAATATTCAGATATAAAAGATTAAAATATCTACACTTAACACTCTAAAATACG